CTGCGGAAGTTCCCATTTTCAACGTTTTCGCTTTTGCAATGGTAGACAAAGTCCTGCGGAACTCTTGCAAATTCGGTTTGCTCTGCGGAAGTCCCGGTAAATTGTCTGAGGTTATATACCAGCTATAATTGGATCCCAGTGATTTTTCTTAAAAATGTGGCTATCGCCACGCCCATCCATTTCGAAAATTTTTTCTTGCGCCTTTCCTCCTTCCTTCCCCTTGAAGAGAAATTTTTGAATCGCTATTAATAAATACACATTCTGCACAATTACCATATCGACATCTGCACCTTGGCTTGATCAACGGTCAATCCTGGGTTGAGGCCAATAATAAGCTAAAATTATGTTATTAGTTTTGCTCTGAAACAAACAGTCATGTTCCCTCACCATATCCGGGTCATGCCAACCTCCAGGTCCTGCAGCAGGAATGAGCTTATCTTGCCATTTATCGTAGAAGTTTATTATGCTCAGCACCGAGTGCCAGGAATTGGAAATGTCATGAAAATTTCTCCAAAGATTGCATGATTGCCGGATTTCTGTGTAGTTCACCTAGAACTTATGAATTGCATGGACAAAAAACAGCAATGTCTCTACCTCCAGCTGATCGGGGTATAAGTATGATGGCCATTCACAAGAATACATTATAGGTCTTCCAGTAGCGTTTAGAGCTCGCTCCATTTCGGGATAGCCTCGAACACTTTGGTTGAAGGTCAGAATAATCAAATTTGTATGTAGAACTCATTTTAGATGGCATTTTTGACAAAATCTTGACAGATTTTATATTTTGACAACATTTTTCTTTTGTACCCTGGTGCACATTGAGTGTAAAGTGAAAATCCAATAAAATAAAATAAAATAAAAATGTCTTTCTTGTTATTCTTTCTTCTACAGACATTTGCTAGTCGATACAAGTGATTTTTTCGTATCCCATTACATATAGACGGGTCAGAGTACGCAGAGGCTGGTCGCAGTAGCGCCGATCAAGAGAGTGCGTGTTTGCAAGAGGAGATAGACGGTAAGAGAAGTGAGAATGTCATCGTCTAAAACGCCGGACAGCGTCTGCAGTGGTGCACCGTCTGCATATGATGTCTAGCCTACTCAGGCAATTCACCGGAACTTCCGTGGAACAAGCCAATTTTGCGGCAGTTCCGCAGGACCTTATTTACTATTGTAAAAGTTGAAGCGTTGAAAATGGGAACTTCCG